TTTGATTTCTCTAGTTCGGGCACAAAGGTTACCGGTGCTCTTTCCGGAGTTTGCTTGGCAGCAACCGATGCGCACGTTGCCGGGTTGTTCACTATGGCTGGTTGACTGTAGCTTACAGTCTCGAGTGTAGTGAACAGACTACTAGGTGCAGCACACAGTACAGAAGTCGAGGCAGGCACGCTGCAGTCACTGTTTTTACTTATAGGAGGGAGCGAGATTGGAGTTGATACTGCTGGAGGCTGAGTCGTTGGGGTTCGGTTGGGACACCTGGCTCGCTTCTTCGGCCTGACTAGTGAGTTCGGGGTGTTATTTTCACTCACAAGTGCAGGTCCGTTTCCTCCCGTGGGTGTAACTCTGGCGCTCACCAGTTCCTCGACCGCTTCGGTTAGTCTTTCACACCTCTTCAGTAGCACAGATAGACAGCTAACAAATGGAATAGACTTGCATACTTGGCAGAACCAAGGAGAACCTGCGGTGTTTGCTTCCGTCGACTTCTTCCCAAGGTAGGTAGTGTGATAGGTTTTCAAGCACATGGTACACACCAGACCATTTTTCACCCCTTTAGCACATGATTGGCATTTGCTTTTCATACGAGACATGTTCTCAGTAGGGGTAGGAAGTGGATGGAGATACTGACGCACCTTTGCGTGGCAATCGGCGCTGGTTTGAGGTCAGCAGGTCCACGCGATGTGCGTGCTATCGATCCAGACGAGTAGACAACGATGCGAGACAAAGCGACTAAGACAAAGCAAGGTAACTTGGAAAATACTGTCTAGTGACGACAGTGGCAGTTCCAAATGCAGAGCAAATTGACCACTATCGCTTTGTAGAGCGACTTAAAGGAATGGTAGTGAGCTGATCGGATGACTCTCAAAAAGATCTTTAAAATAAGACCACAAGAGTTCTTACGCGACGAGAGGAAAAATAAAACATCCGATAAGCTTCAAATACGGTTGGCTTCGAAGTTCCAAGAGCACAGTTTGTTGGTGATCCGTGAATGATAGATCCGATAGATGAACAGTGGTAGGAGGAGCTCGCGGAGCCAAATCGAATGATGGCACGTAGGTCTCTGTGAGAATAAATCCAAAGATTTGGAGGCGAATAATGCAGGAGGACAGTTTTTTGCGACCGCAGTGACAGGTTACAGGTTACAGTTCGGCCGCCATGCACTAGTATACACGGCAGTGAACCGTATAGGTTGGGAATCTGAGACCATACCGTGGATAGTTGCCGCCAACTGTCTGTTTTGTATGCACTGTGAAACGATCATAATTGCATTTTGATTCTTTGAGTGGTAGGCGATTCGATTCTGGACTCATTGTCAATGTATCGAGATATTCTTGCAGATGCTTGGTGTCTAGTCCCACAGCATGTTAAATTCTACGTTTGACTGTTAAAACACCAAATTTGATTGACCTTACGGAACGGTTTACGGTTTTGTTACATTCCAGTTCTTATAATCTCACAAGTCCGTGCTACCGGTAGACATTTGCTGAACCAGACGCACAGAGTATTCCAAGGTGTATAACGTCATTTTTTCATCAACAAAGTGTGCGTTGTTGTGCATTCCAATATGACACGAAAGATTATACGATACGCATCCTGGACAAGGCAACCACATACAGCATAGGTGTATGCCTCTATGTACGCGACAGTTATAGTCTTTCATGATCTTTAGATCTACAGGTAATGCTTTTCTCTTCACCTTGAATGTGCATCTTATTTGCGTTAACCACTTTATGTGCCGACAAGGTCCTTCAGATAACTGTTAAAAATTCATTGGAAACGACTCTGTTTACGCGATCTGTTTCAGCTAATTGAAATCGATCCAAAGCGACGTTACGCCTAAAGTAGTTTAAGGTAACTGATCCCTACTATACTGGTGGCCAGGAATCCCGAAAATAGGTTCACTCCGTTGACACAGTCAAACAGCTCATGAAGGAATCGAGTTTGCATCTCCAGTGAATATGTTCGCAATGAGTAAAATATCGTTAAAAATAACCTACGAAATCACCTCACCCTTGAAGGGCGCTAATTAGAGCGAAGTGCTCTACTGGCCTTGCATTCAGTACATTATACTGCGGTACTGGATGAAGTAGTAAAAGTAAGAATCGATTTAGCGCAGACCTAGAGCTAGTGTCAGCATGGTGTACCTCAAGAATCCGTCCTGGGCCCGCTACTGTTTCTAGTCTGCATTAATGACCTTCCAGAAAACATTCTATCTCCGATGTAAGTATGGACAGACGATGCTAAAATCAGGGAAGCAATTCGCTTAGCATCCGACTGTGTTCACCTTCAGGAAGATCTGGCTCGGATTAGCGAATAGGCAGAAAGGACCCACCTCCCACTGAACCATGCAAAGTGCCACCTGCTGACAGTGCCCACCAGTTTCGTCAACACACCTCTTGGAGCAAAACGTCCTGCAACACATGACTAGTGAATGCGACTAGGGATGATGGTGAAAGAGGGTCTTGGCACTTCTCCCCAATCTTCGAATGCAGCCAGTGTGGCGAACTTGAACTTGAGACGTTTTAGGCGAGCTCTCGCCTCCTTTGACCGACGGCTAGTACCATTGCTGATTAACTCCTACATTCGCCCTCACGTTGAATATGCAATTCAGGCCTCGTGTCCATGGCTAAAAGGAGACATTTGTCTATTGTAACAATCCCAATGAACAGCCACAAAAGCCGACGCCTTGACTATCCAATCTAAATAACGAACTGCATCTTCGTGTACTCAGGGTGCTCTCATCAGAATACCGACAGTTTCGCGCAGATCTTACTCTCACATACCCGATACTAACTGAAAGCTAGCATCCATGTACATAACGTTGACCCTAGCTCCTAACAAACAAATCCGAGGCAACCACCTGAAACTAATGACACGACTCCCGTTTGAATTGTAGCAAGTATTTTTACTCACTTAGAGTCTGTTCCCACTTAAATTTATTACTAACATATATGGTGAAAGCACCAGGCATCACAACCTTCGGAAGACTTTCATCTTAATGATAAACGCTACACAACAGTCTGATAAAGGGCAATGACTTCACTTCTGACATTCCATGTTTCACCTTCTTGATTTTAATTTTCTTTTGCATATCCATCCTGTGGGTCTTGTAAACTTATGCTTTCATCCCATCACACACTACTGGACTACTGAAGAAGACACCGTGGTAGCATGCAAAGATTTTACTAGACCAAATCGCAAATACACTAAGGACAATGAAGCGAAAAGGAGAAACTGCTGTTCAAGAGAAACGACTACATATGCCTTATAAAATACAGTAACAGCTTGCTAAAATACACTTGGTGGGATTCTGGCGCATGTAAAAGAACACTCGCTGGTTCGGAATGTCCCCAATGAACACCATACGTCTACTAGTTCCCTGTCAAATAGATATGAGGCACAACTCAGGTAATCTGTGAAGCATCAAAAATATTCCACCACGCTTTTAAGATCACTCATCATAATTTTATAATGCATAAACCATCGTAAGACGCTCTTAGATTACCTTAAAAACAAACGCAAAATCGCAGCGGTAAGTCTGTGTTCAGGTTTCCCTCGGGGGTGGGGGCACACCGCGACCACAATCTTGGAGATTCCGTCCACTAGTGTGCTAAGTTAAGCACTGGGTGGAGTTGAGTATAGTTTGAGTTACCTTCTCACATTTGTTCTACGCTTGATAGAAATGTACAGGACAAGGAAAATGAGCTATATTCAGTCACTTCCCTCTGCGTATGTCGACTAACCATATCTCCTCAAGTAAGCCATTGCTTGTACTTTAATAGGATATGAAGACAGAGGGATAATCCCTCGCTGATATATATCTGTCTGAGTAGAGATTGTTAGATTGTAAAATTACTGCCTGAGCATTTTTGTACTTTATTTGTGCCTTGTCTTGGCCTACGTCTGATAAATACTGTTGACAACCCCCATATCATCGGTACCTCCCGTTAGATACTACTCATTCATAAATAGTGAGCAGTGTTGTGCCTTAGTGGAATCTTAGAGCATGCGTGATATTCTCCGGCATTTAACACTACCTCAGACCAAGTCTGAGCAGCTTCCTATCTTGACCGACGAATTAGGCATTGACTTTTACATAAACTTATTCCATGGGGAAACTAGTTTTGTCAAACTCTCATCGGTTTGCGTGAAATATTGTAATAAACTACACTCCAAATGGATGGTTCAGATGACCCATTTGCATCTGGCCTTCGTTACTTGCCAGTAAATGCATATGGAACAGATGTCTCCGCTGCTATTACCTCGTAGAAATCGGAGTTTCTGAGATTATGAGGTAGCGAAATGAACGGGTTGCTGTCCATGATCAATATCCCGAATTGCGGAATTCCATCATCCCAAATCCCGCAGTACTATTCGGGTCAAATGTGTTTGTGGGATTTATTTGAACACATTATGCTATTCTAGATTTTGACGTGATTTGAACCTACATGAATTTGGCAACTTGATTACTTTTGTGTAATCATTATGCATAACAATCTCACTTTTACTGTGAATTGTGACCAATTGGCACAAACCTACCACGACCTCCAGTAGAGGTCGATTACTCTGGAAACTGAAATGCGTGTTCTTGGGCCTATTATTCAAACTGCCAGAGACACGCTTCAGATATGCCAAGTAGATTTTAGCTTCTAAAAGCACAACTGCCACCGCTGAACAAACTGGAAACGGTCTATCACTTTGGGATAGACGTCGCTTGTTGATGGGGCATCGAAGTTAGTCATCTTCATTCAGGGTTCAAGTTCTTTCTCATGTGCCTTTACCACAAGTATTCACACAACAGCAAAACGTAACGTAGAGTGCTGTTTTGTAAAAATGTGGCACCTTTCATTTACGTACCTAATGTTTGGTTTAAACTAAAATAACACCTTTTAACTGATCGAGTCTATCAGTATTCTAATTTGTTTACATGTTAGTTATTTGCTATTGTTTTCATTGTGTTTTCCTGGAACCTTCATATTTGTTTGGTCTAGATCTTGGAAGCACCTGACAGTCATCCTGGGGATGGTTTTGGCCTGGATATTGCCGACAACGTGGACATTGACTACGATGGATGGCCCGAATTACTCGTGACCAGTTTGAATCGTGACACTGCCCCGTATATATTCACAATGCCGAAACGCCTTGTGGCGCAGTGTCACATCAGTGTCCCTTTAAGCCACACTCTCAATCCATTTCAGGCTGGTTCCGTTATACCTGTGCGGATCCTAGCACGCCTGTTCGATCCTCGACTCAAACGATGGGCCCCAATTCCGTTGGGAGTCGTCAGCCAAACTGCTCGTGTTCATCAGGTGAACCCCGACGTGTTGTGGCAGCAGCGACACTCAACCGGTCCAGACACGGCGACGAATGAAGAGCTTTATGAGGACTCGATGTTTCTCTCCCTGATGGGGATGAGTATGAACCGAAGTGAGCCTCGTTTTCTCTTAGCACATGGAACGGTTCAGCCAGAACTGTTATCGCACGATCCGCAACAGCTTTCGGTCAAATTCAGCATTCAATCTAGGTACGGATCACAGTCTTCCGATCTGATCACAATCCCACTCAGGGTGGCATATCGGTCAGTTGTGAATACACAAGTTTGCACAGACTTTTTGGCTCACGGAGGTGTGTGTTCGAAGCGACAACAGCCCATTGTTGATTGGTCCCAATGTGAAACTAACCTTCAGTTGGCGCGGCATATTTGCATTCCAGCCCCCGAATGCATAGGCAACTTGGCCCTGATCCTACAAGAAGCGAACAACTCATCGTCACCCGCGTCGGACAAGATAATCCGCTTTCAATGGGGTAGAGCCACCGACAGACATCAGACCGTCCAAATCGCCCTGATCAACCTTGGACCAACAAAATCCGCCGGTTTACTTGTACAGATTCGAGTAACTGGCCGTTCCACAGCGCAACCTGCCGTGGGAATCAATCTGCACCTCACTCAGGTGACTGTGCTTCGGTCGACAAAGGGCGCCTCGGAAAGCAGTCGGCCGGAGGTTAACCTGATGAATACGAACAAATGGACAGTCCAATTACACCCGGATGGACTGGCCGCGTTGATTTCCTCCAAATCGCACGAATGGATGTACCCGAACGAAACGATGCTCATGCGCATAGACTTGTTCGCAAGCATCTCGACCGAATCGCAACCAGTACCTCAGTTGTCTGCGGCTGAGTTGGAAAGGAATACGAGCTCTGATGATGGTGGCTACATCCCGTCACTTCATGTGCGCGTGTTATCTGACACAAAAGATCCGGACACAGAGGATAACGAGCTCACTATCCCGTACGGGTTATCGTATGCACCTCGGATTGATATTAGCGCTGGATCCCAGCCACCCACGCTGATTGACAATCGAAAGGAACCGACGTTGTTTCACCAGAGTACGTGCCGCTTCCCCCTTTTACATGTTCACTGTGGCTGAAAATAGACCAATGTTTTATGAACAGTGCACAATGACTTGTCACGGGTAAGTAAGCAATTGCTTGACAAATCCCGCATTATGGCTGGGGTGAACATTAAAATATAAAATGACAAAAGAATCGTCTCTAAGTTTCTATCGATCAACTGCGCCACCGAACAACAGTAATGTAAACTGAGAATTGAATACAAGCGAACTAAACATGGGTGCAGCCATAGCTGATGTTCTCGGTGAGAACAATAAAAGCAAGTACCCTTACCCATGTACCGCTTCCTTAGGTCTATGTGGCACATAAATCCGGTTTGAAGGTGTGTTTAGTATATTCCAAGGCAGCCTAACTTAAATGACGAAGTTCTGGTAACTAACGGCTATATTCAAACTTTTTCAAACATATCCAACATAGGAGAGGATATAATTGAGTTTGGGACAGAGTTCCAGAGTTGATAAACTCGAAGTGAAAAATAATTCCGTCTAGAATCTAGACGGCTGTATTTTTCACGCGGTTATAGGTGCTTATCTCTGAGGTTGGTATTGTGACTAAGTTTCAGCAAAAGTGGTTGGCGCCACTCAATATTTCATACACTACTATGAGATCGCCTCAAGTCTTCGGTAGTGTCCGCGGAATACTCCCAGTGACTTCAGCCTTTGCTGGTAGGACAGATTGCTTAAGAACTTTCCATTCTTTATACCCCTGCGCTGTGGTGTCTAGCACCTCCAAGTCGCGTTTCAACCTAGCTTGCCAAGTTTGGATGGCGTATTCAACGTCATGGCGTACGTAAGATTTGTGTTTCATTGGTCAAAACTCACGAATGTCCTCCGCAGCAGGCCGACGTGTTGGTTACCTCTTTTCGCATTTACCACAAATTGTTTTGAACGGTTAGGTTCACTTTGTATGAGCAAATCTAGGTCGAGTTTCTGAGACGTGGTTTGTAATATGTTTGACCCAAGCCAATAAGTGTAGTCATCACCATATCGTAATTGAACAACGCGACATTTGTCTACAGTTACTGGCAGAGCAAGCTGAGCTGCTCATTTCCAAATCGTGTTAAGATCGCGATGAAGCTCTTCGTGGTTGTCTGATTCTCTGATCGCTCAACATATCTTGATATTATTAGCGAAGCGTAAGACATCGGATGAAACTGCCAACCGAATCGTTTAAAGCTGATGATGTACGCGGGATTTCGTTGGACACCGTCAGTTATCCAGGCCGGTGGAAGAAATAAAAAGACCAAGAAGTGCAATGATTAATCAATATGGCATCAATGCTTTGCGCACGCTGTAGTCGCAAAAACTTTTTATCCACTTAAAAGTCTTGCCTTTCAGTGTTATAGGTTTTGTGAATATCTAGCTTTTATCTTGTCGCTATTCGTTGACTTTTCATTCTGTTTAACCCTTGCAAACTAATTTTTCAGTATTTTACATAAGTAACTGGTTTTTGTTGCATCATAAAGGCTGAAACAATGCCGAACTACTGAAACATTGAGATATTCGGTTCTCTGAAGATGTTTATTTAAACGTATGGAAGCTACACTTTGATCACATGCTATAATACCATCCCTTCATCACTGAATCTGTGCATCTTAGGTTGTATGACAAGGCCTCTTCGAGTGCACTAGCAGCTATTGCTATGAAGCTTCCAAAGGGAGAATTTTCTTTAGGTGGCAGATTCAAATGGAATCTTTAGAGTCACTGTGGTTTAAGTTGGAACAATTGATAAGCCTTTTCACTTGACAGAGTTGGGGATCAACTCTCAAAGCTTTTAGTAATGGATCCCGTGTCGTTTCGATTGCCTGTGTGATGGTACGATATTCTTATATTCACCGAGTATACATTTTGAAGGACAAGAGTTTGACTTCGCTCATTATACACGGTTGACTGCTCATTCGGTTATGTTGTACTTTCTGAACACTATATACTCTACTCGAGTTTCAACGTTCAGCTTATTACCCTTTATCCAAGCTAGACGTAACAGCTCATTTAAAGAAAGTGATGTATCAGTAATGGTCAGACATCCTGATGAAACTCTTCAATCACAACTCATGACACTCCATCTAGATGTTGAAAGTACATAACGCAATTGATATATCATAGTTCCTGATTAACTACGTCGTTTGGGATCTGAGCACTATTAGTCCAGCGTTCTGACTCTGTAAACCAAAATCTTTATATCACTAGCATAAACAAGAGTTATCGTTCCTGATCAAAGGAAAGCTCATCGACGTATATCAGGAAGAAAATTGACTACCCTAACTTATACCCAGAAACACCACTTGTCTCTGAGAAATGTTGACTTACCCTGCAAACTGCTTTCGGCCAAACAAGCAGGTGTCTGTTCAAGACGGTATTCAGTCTACGCCAGCACTGTGGAAACGTTTACGTATGTGCTTTCTACATAGCACATTGCTGAATGCCTTTTGCAAACCCAAGTGCAATCCTCTTTGGAACCATTTGATCTCGTTAACTGATCAAGGAAACCTAGCGTTTGTTAACAATTTACTCCCAAGTATAACTGTTGAGTGCAATCTTTTGATGCCTGTCTCTCTAGTAATCCTAATATATTCGCCTACACTCGGTACTCTAGTTGCGTAGCGGGAATTTTTTTTATAGACGAACGACCAGAATTCACCGAAATCACTAATGGGCTGGGGTTCACGTATTTGCCGGTTTCGGTATTGCTATTTTTCTTTGATTCCTTGGTCTTTCCGTGTTTTCATGTCTGATCGGCCGATTAGCGTGTACCAACGGTAGTTAGTCGAAAGCAGCTCACTTCGAAATCGGGTGTCGTACAACCGTCCAATAAGCGTCTGATAAGTGAGATATTTGACACTGTATATGATATGGTTTTATCTTGAAAGGCGGACGATTAAATCCAACCCTTTAGGACGGATTCATGTTTTCCTGCTTAAGCGCATTCATGCCAGTTATACCCTACATTTAATCTAGATATTTCCTCTCAAAGACCGTGCTAACACCGCCCGGACATATGGCAGTTTATACACAAAAAACCACAAAAACATTGTTATATGGTATACGTATTGTGTATTTGATACTTAGCCAATAAACAAGCGTCATAGTGTCACAACACATGAGTAAAAACAACAAACAGGAGGCAAAGAAGCAGTCAGCGAAAAGCTTAGAAGGGTGCATGTGTTGCGCAGGCAGTGAGCTTCCCGGTTGCTCAGGCCGGGGTAAAGGGTATTTACTTGGGAACCCACCGTTACGCGTACAAGTAGAAGTCTGGTGCGGTAGCTACTTCCACTATTACTTAACGTTCCTCAAATGACTGCGTTCTGCGCCCGGATTTGTTGACAAGTAGCAGCAACGTACCCCAGTTTAACACTCATACAAGTGGTCAAACGAGAACATGCTACAGTTCAACACCACAAAGTGCAAAATCTTGAGCATACGCCATCAGAGTGCGTATAACTACCGCTTAGGACCTGACATTCTACAGCGGACCTCTCATGAGTGCGATCTTGGCGTGCTTGTACAAGAAGATCTTGGGTGCTTAATGCGGACCGAAAAGGCCTCCAAGAGAGCAAACCAACACTTTGGCCTTCTGCGTAGAGCGTTTGGGAAGTTTGACGCCTCAATCTTTCCGAAAATGCTTAGCGCTTTTGTTAGACCGCACACAGAATACGCTATTCAAGCGTGGCAACCATGGCAGAAGTGCCACCTACTGCACTCGATACTGCACAACGCAGAGCGATAAAATACGTCAAAGGTCTTTCCAGCCTTCCCTACCCACTCAGGCTGAAAATTCTTAACTTATACAGTGGACGTTACCGTCGTTTGAGAGGAGATCTCATATTGGTGTACCGGATACTGAGAACCCCCAACCACACGTGTCATTCCCTTTTGAAACGTAGTCAAAACGCATCCCTAAGAGGTCATCAGTTTAAGTTGATCGCACAGTACAGTCGACTGGAATGTCGACGCAATTCCTTCTCCCTCCGAGTGTCACAACCTTGGAACGCCCTTCCAGAACATGTAATTAACGCTCCCACCCTATCCCTTTTCAAAAAACGCCTTGACGAAACTCTGACACGATTGCACTATGTGATATAACGTGCGACCATCGGATGATGGTATTAGTGAACAACGAACGTGGACGGAATCCACTTAAAATTCCTATTGGATTACTTGTTTATGTGCATTTCCAGTCCCTTGGTGAGTCATGCATTTCACACGTACTTTCATCGATACGATTTTTTAATTTTACGATGTTAATTCTCATCATCCTACGGGACCTGTCAAGCATTGCTTTTATACCCGTCATAAACCATTGTTCCATTGTTATTGTTCCATCTGAAATTGTATTCAGCTGCAACCATACATAATACCACTTGTCTGTGATACATTGCACAAATGGAACCTCACTGTGTGTGTTGACTGGGATTTATACACATGGATTATCTCTCTTCGGAGCGTTCAGCTGACTGCATGATACACGGTCGCAACTAGCTACACTGGACCATATTGGTGAAGGATTTGTACGCTGGGCAACAAAGTAATAAATGTCACCGTTATCAAAGTAAGTTTGGACAACAAATTATGATAGCAGTTACGAAATATATATTTGAAAACTAATACTAGTAAGTCTCTTTAATACCAACAAATGCTAACCTTACGACTTCAGTCCGACGATGTTGATAGGGCGGTCATCTACCATACAAACGAAATGAGTTACTAGGTAACAATTGCCTCGCCCTTGTGAAATGTATATTGTTTCATGGAGGAGTTTCTGCGCTGCTACACATGTTGAAATATCATCACCTACACCAGTCAGTTTCCCGCCCTCATACCCTCTGTCCTTTTGCTTCAGGTGTTCGAATCTGTTGATATTCTATATTTATTGTAATTAATTAATAAAAATAAAAAAAATAAAAAATAAAATAAAAAATAAAAAATAAAAAAATATCACAAACATTAACCGGTCGTCTACCACGTTTTCTGAAATCATGACTTCCCGATCGGTTCAAAATGTGTTCCAAGAGACTGTTGATGTTCTAATTCAAGCCACCCACCCGTATTTACCCACTCGTTTTCTGTGAGTACATGCGCGCGATAGCCATCAATTGCACGCACTATTGATCAGCACACAAGGGGAATCTGATTGCTCGTTTTCCAGCTGCTTTCCCTATGTCTGGTCTTTCTGGTTTATCCGTTAATATCACGGTGTCTGTTATGTGGCGTCTCAAGTGCAAAACAACTGTTAGGCTTCTACCAAAACCCATTGACTGACAAAACTATTAGTTATTTTCGTCCCAAAAGTGACGGCCATGAGCATGCTTATCGATCGCTCCGTCGAGTAGCATAGTTTGGTGAACCTACTTCCTTTTCGTGTCTGTTCTTGTGTCAGGACCTTTATGTTTTTCTAATTATCCGTATGTAAGGAAACAAGACAGAGAGCATAGTGTTTCTTACAAGATCTTATGCTCTTATCTTCTTATTGACAGTCGCCTTCCTGGCTGACCCACATAGTTTTTTATCAGGATTTTGATGCCGTAGCTTGTAAACAACATTAAGTCTTTCATGGACTCCAGCCCTAGCTTTAGGTCTTAATAGGGTTTGCCTCAAACCGGCAGACGGGTGAAGTTCACGGGGCACAAATCGAGGAGGTCAATACAAAGTCCCTTGTCGGTCGATCGCAAACTGACGACCAAATCAGCGGACTACCTTTGATTCAATAGTGCATTGAGGAAGTCACCTCGTTTGGTGATGGAATGTTTGCAAAGAAATTACGATGCTCTGCGAAACAGGTGAAACCAGAAACGATCAACCCGAACTACCAGTGCAGCAAGTCATTTGTTATTACTGTTTGAGGCTGGATCTTTACTCCTGCCTTCCTAGCTTGTTAAACGAACTCCATAGACTGTGTACTCCTTGGCCTCTGCTCTCGTACGAGTCAACTGTAATTCTGAGGGTAACATTGCCGAGACCACTGTGGGTCAACCGTATAGGAACGGTTTAACCCGTACTATCGCGATTGCTTGCTTGCATCACTGATTGACCCTTGATAGGTAACGTTCCCACAGAACTCTCTGTTTGATCTTTTCGATCTTTCAGCCAACACCGTAATTATAGGGTTCATAAACTAATTGACAGATAGAAGCGGATAAATGTGAACCAATCGCTTTTAGAAATCACGACTAGGCGGCACAAGCAACTGATATCAAGTCATTACATGGACTGTTGTTTATCACGCCCAGTTTGTTACGTACAACTACGCGTGTGTACATGCATATTTATATTTTTATATTGGCAGTTTCTGTTCTATTTATTGTAGGTTTTGTAAATCGAGACGTTTTAATGGACCAATCTGCATGATCCTGTCGAATGTCTTGCTATAAGTACACCTATATATATTATATCTCTCAATCTCCATCTCCCTTCAGAGCTACATCGACGTAGAGTCTTGTCTGGCGAAATCGGTCCCAAGATTCAACACACCTTTTTGATCGAGAACACTGGCAAGTTCAGCCTCTCTAACGTCACCTTCTTGCTTGAAATACCCATCACCACAACCAACGGACAACCACTAGTCTATCTATCGAGGCAAAGCCGGCGAAAAGCATTCTCTTCAGCGGATGTTCTCGGTAAGTACGTGCTGAGTGTATATGTTCTAATCAATCAGTTTCAATCTGTTGGTTTTCTGCCTTGGGAACGTAAGAGTAGAATTGGCGAATGAATCTCAAAAATTCCCACTGATTCCGTCCTTGACTTTGTCTAGGGTACACTCATCATCGTGGGACCTGAGCTTGGAACAACTGAGCGGGAGTAGTCGTTGAGCATCTCGACCCCTATTCACGTCTACCTCATCATGTGACAAGCATGGCAACGAACGGCATGCGACAATCGACGCATGCTCATCCACATTGATCAACCACGCGTGCGTCCACCTGTGGGGTGAGGCCGATCACATGCGGTCGCCGTTGTCGTTGCCCTTTGCTATAAATGTAGTTCAAGATTTCGTTTTTGCGATGGTGTTACAAGGGCTTGTGTTAACGTTTACACAACCCTACGGAATGCCGTCTTCATTAAATCAAGAAGTCGTGGGCCTCGCAAGCTTGGCTGATTGAATTTGGCTTCCACTGTGGGCCCAGTGTTGAGGGTATGATTGCCGCTATCGTTGGTTGCATTGCTCCATGTTTCCGTTTGACAGGCACCTGATCCTTTGCCCAAGCATCATAAGCCAAGGGCGTAAGTTGGTAAGGTTTAAATTGAAACGGAGTCTATTCACAAGACTTCAGGGGACAAGGACTGGTTTAAATGTCCCGAGATTTACCTCGTTTGCCTCGCGTAGCTTCTCAATGAAATTACCTGTGTAACTGAATATCAACGAGCAAGTATATGGACAGTCCGTTTGATTGAAGATAGGAAACATTGGTGCATTAAGAGAATAATTTAAAAGAGCGTCCAAGGCAGCTAGTTTCGGGGAAAGAAGAATTCCGGCAGTACTACAAACGGCCCTGTTTTCTGAACAGATTTATTTAATGATCTCTCAGGCTGATGTCGGGGGATAATTTACATGAGGTGGCGGAAATTGCGATTGAGATACTTTGTGATCTTGGTTGAACCTTTATGTGACTTTCATGTAGACCCCGACACTGTCCAGTGTACGGTCTTCAGTTCATCAGTATAAATTCGTATGAGATGTAACCAGGCCTATATGGCACGTAGCACATAAAAACCTCACGCCTAGGCTACGCGCTAACAGCATGTTGATAGGAATAAGATGTCTGGTCTGGTTTCAAACGATGGACTAAATAACTCCAGTATTTTACGAGCTAAATTGCTCCGGACTACCGGGATCGTCCCTATTCACACACTAATCTCAACTTTATGTGAAACCTTGAGCAAGGTTAGATCTCCGGCTTGATTGGTACAAGTAGGTGGGTAACTTGTTTAGTATGCGTTAACTTGAAGCCCCTTCCCCGTTCACCATTAGTTGCGTCATTTAGACCCATTGGGTTAATTATTGCATTGCTTTGCGCCAATTGTTCGCCATATTTTACCATGATTATAAAAACATATTAAGGTGTACTTCATGATGTGGTGTGCAGTTTGCGTCATGTGATATAATCCGTGTTCAACAAGAGGTCACATAAAGCAAACAAACAATATGGCCCCAGTGTTCACACAATATCGAATCAGATGAGTTTACCTTTGTGTTCTTGTAAATTTGCTCAATTCTGATACATTTTCGAAATACGACAAACTTATCTGAGTACTCAATTACTGAAAGTTGACCGGCTACGACGTTACCATGTAAGTTACTCTGAGATGCTCAATGAGACTAAAAATAGCATTCCTTTCTTGCGAAAGAGACTCGAATGCTGGAACAAATGCCTCCTTCCACAGATTTTAATGCTTACATGGGGCTCGACGTTAAAAACGCGGTTCTGCCGAGACTGATATGCCTGGAACCTGACGTCTTGTTGTACTTAAGATCACACGACTAATGACAACTTATCGTGTTAAAGGCCTTCTCCGACTCACAACAATCTAGACAACGCATGGTGTCGACATTTACAGCGTTGTGACTTAATAATGTACCAACTCTACGAGAGATCTCAGACTCGTTTTCCAACAGCTTAGGAATCCAAGCCAAAACAGCAACAACACTCTGGTATACTGGACCGATATCGATATGCATGGGAATCGAATGATTTGTGAAGGACCAAACTTCGCGGAACTCCTGCTTTTCGCAAGGATCTTTGCTTCTTGTGGTGTCCTTCTTGTTCTTCTTCTGCGACAAATGAGGCTGCGTAGTGTTTTTCCCATGCTTATTTTTGATCCTATCTCCTTGTTAATTGCCTTCTTCTTTGTTCTACATAGTGATTTACGCTACCGCTGCAATTTAGCTGATATACAATATTTTGTCCCCTTTACGTTTCACGGTTCTCTCTCGGTTATGATGTCGTTCTCCTCAGCACAGCGGTTGAGATGTGGGCTACCATGATGTGGTGTTTTTTAAATACCCTGAACGTCATTTCGGATACGACAAAATAGTCCGCTTCTTCATTACTGATGTGGACTCGGTATTTGTATGCTTTTGGTTAAGACATCTTCCGATGAAACTGCGTTCAAAAAACCAATAACTTTTCTTCTCTCTGCGCTTCGGCAGTAATACATTGAGACTTGATTCTTTGAAACAATGTCCGCACGCAGCTTATCTTCTGGCATCTTGGACGGTTACTGTTGAACTGTATGTTTCTACTAGATGGGAGTTTGTAATTAGCTATCTGCTGTCCTGGCCATCAATGCATCTAAGAAAAGAAGTTTGTTTGCTGTCTTCGCGTCCATTGTAAACTGGATGCCACGCACAGCATTGTCCAGTAGCTGGTGGGCGATCGTCACTTCACTATTCTTAAGTAGCCGCAACCTATCCTCGATGTATCGCACAAATAATTTTGATTAATAATCGGTAGTAGATTCTTATCTAAGTTGTGCTTGGGGTTTTATGTCAAACATCTTGACACAGGAGATCTCATTGGTACACCTCTCAGTTGCCAGTAGATCTAACCGTTTAATGTGTAGTAAGTTGGGATAAATACATGAAGAAGCATGCATATACTTTCGGTTGTCATATTCTCAAACTTACGTCCTTTATTGTCCAGCCGTTCCGCGAGGAATTCGTTTTCCAGTTGTAAGTTGACGGCGATGAGTAGAGCGGTGATATCCAAGGACATCATTGTTTTGTCGAGACCTATTCGTAGATTTTTGAGCTTCGTCAGAAGTAGATGGGCATTGTGTGGATGCGCCTCCATAGTTATTTTTCCAGGTTGTAGGCGGCCGTACCTGGAAGGGACACGATTGGTCGTAGCAGTGCGTCGTATTGTGCACTTTCGGAAGCCCACAGAATTATACAAGGTTAGAATCGCGGGTCCTCATTCTATTTCGTGCATCTCCCATGATTTCGTTCCGGTATTGAAGCCTTTTCGATTGGCGATTTATTCTTTTGCCGACAATAAGATTGGATCGTTCCCATCGCACTTGTATATGAAGGTATATTTTAGAAACCGTTCTGCCTTCTCTATGTAATCCGCCTTGTCAAATATGGCTGTTATTCGTCCCCTGTCAGTGGGCAGGACAACGGTTGATTCGTCGGATTTCAGGGCTTTTTATTTCTTCTTGCTTTTGTTGAGATGGGAATTGCATTATATATTGTGCATCATGCAGGGACAATTGTTGGTCATATTCGCCTTTGGATGTTTTCATCAAGTCCTGTAGCCTGTAAAGTAGTTTCGATTCCGGAGAGGAACTCAGCGGTCACAGCGTCTTTGAACCACTGTAGAAAGTAGAAGCCACGAGTAAACTTTGCACAATAAGCTACCTCGACTATTAATCGAACCCCAGACGGATTGCCGGTCCGTATGTCCGGGGTTCGATTCCCCGACGAGGTAGCTTCTTGTGCCAAGTTTACTCGTGGCTTCTCTTTTCTGCAATATTACACTACTCACCAAACCACCAATAGGCTTTGAAACAATGGTTTAGTCCTTTAATGAGGACTTATTTTTCGGCGTCGCTACCTCGTCACTACCGCTGATCAACTTGGAAAAATTAACATGAAGCGCAATAGGTTTTCTAGCTCTGGTATTATCTCGGCTCTGATATGTATTTCACGTGAAGATGGTCTGTCACTTGTTGTCCCACAGCTTGCAGACAAATAACTCGTTCTCATGAGTAGGGGATTTTGATGTAATTATGTGAGGTACTTCGCAGCCAGTTTCCAAAGCAGATAGTCGCCCACATGCCCGCAAAAGCACTAGACTACAGTTTCAGCCTATTGGGCATTGTCAGTTGTGCGCATTCATCGGATCCATCAGGATTCGAACCCATGACTACCAGAGGCTTGAACCGCCAGTCAGCAGCTTATGCCACTGGGCCACAGGGGATAGCTTACTCACATTAAAATCCCCTACTAATGAGTACATCAAAATATGTCCGCCCTGGCAGTTTCTTAACGCTATGTCGTACATAGCTACTGTTAGTGGACGTCGTGTCTTTCGGTGTCAACCCTGTCCTCTGCAACGTCCGTAACTTGCATGGCAGTGAAGGATAAGACGCGCTATATCGCATTTAGCTTGTAAATCATGACAGTCCGAAACTGTCCCTTGTAGCCCAGTGGCATAAGCTGCTGACTGGCGGTTCAAGCAGCTGGTAGTCATGGGTTCGAATCCAGATGTATCCGATGGATGCGCACTACTGACGATGCCCAGCAGGCTGAAACTGCAGTCTATTGCTTTTCCGGGTATGTGGACGACTATCTGCTTTGGAAACTGGCTGCCAAGTACCTCACTTAAATAACGCGTTGTTCATTCAGGTATCCACCAAATTGCCGTGCGATAACCCATGCGTGTGAGTGGTTTATAGGCGGAGGTGCAGTACCTTCGGAATTACCTTCTTCCAGGGTCTGCAACCAAACCGCTACTTCCACCGCACTGGTGATGACACATAGGCCGGTGACGAAACGTCTGCAATCCAGTTGCTCAGTCCGATGAACAAGTAAACTACTGAACAACAAAACCGAGCTACCAGTATTTGGAAGATTTGTCGCTGTTAGATTCAGCCAAGTACTTTGCACATATCTAGG